CACTGGACTTAACAAAGACCCCAGCTATCTTACACATTACAAAGATAGCTTCCCCAATTATCACCTCTAATACTATTTACTCACAGACATTTCCCCTTCCCCATCTCTAATATCATTAACTCACTGGCATTCACCTTCCTTCCCCCCCTCCCATCCCCCTTCTGTTCTGTAATGTGATTTGTCCTTTTCATGTGTGTTCATTTTTTTTAAATTGTATCCTTTGGTATATATGGTTGTGACTATTTTCTTCCATTATTTGATCTGAGGAAGTGGGTCTGGCCCACGAAAGCTCATCATCTAATAAACCATCTTGTTAGTCTTTAAAGTGCTACATAGTCCTGTATTTAGGGACAGGAAGTGAGTGCTAGACAAATAATTAGTCACCAATGGGGAGAGAGCATGCAAACACCTCTAATCTCTATCATACGGGGAGTGACTGACTGAGCTGACCCTGTCCAGCACTCTCCAATCTTTGTGACCTAGGGTTGCCAGGTATCTGGTTTTGAACCAGACAGTCCAGTATTTGAGCTTTCTGTTCAGGAAACAAATTGAGAATATATAAATGAAAAAATATAAATGTATGGTATTTTCTAAATAAGATGTAATGTAGATTGTGATGTAATGTCAAGTGTGTCTGGTATTTTTGTTGATACCATCTGGCAACCTTTTATCGTCCCATATAAGAGCAGTTCAAACCCCCTTTGCAGGATCTGGTTTATTCCCTCATTCTATAGAAGGCAACATACTTTTTAGTTGCTTAAGTTCTCACCCATTGTGGGTCTATGTAAGATTCCTGGTCTATTTCCTTCCCCATTCAGAAAGTCATAGCCATGCTCCCAGACCTAGGGTGTAAAATTCTCTCTGTCCTCTTCTAAGGATAGGAGCCTTCTAGTGCTTCTCAGTGAAACTAGAGTCGTACTTTGGGGCAGCTGCAGAACCTTAGACAACTTCTCCTCCTGCCTGGACCTTTTCCCAATCAGTCCTCCCACTTTCAGACAGGGAGGTCTAATACCTTCCCCTGTTAGCAGAGGTCCCTGATAGAATCTGACTATCTTCTATAGTGCAAACCATCATCCCCCTGATGTGCTGTGAGGGGAAAGGCAGCTTGGCTCATTTCTTATTGGCTGAAAGAGAAGGGAGATGTATATCACCCTTTCCTCTCTATCCTTTGTATTATATATCAGAGCACTCCAAACTCATAGAGGGCCAAACATGATGGGATAAGCTGAGTGCTAAATACCACTACCCTTAAAATGACTGGTTTCCCCTTTACAGGAAGCACATGTTCTCCCCACAAAAATAATTATGAAACTACTCTGCATATTTAAAGTAGCTCTTAGTGCTGTGCCCCCATTGTGGACTCTCTGGATCCATCTCTGCCTGCTTCTGGTCAAGACCCACCTATTCCCTAAATACTACTAGGTAGTAAAGTCTGAGGGCTATCAAACAGGGGATATGCATCCACATAAAACCTTCCTGAATCCAACCACCTACCTTCAACAGATCTGCACTGGTTCTGCTTCCAGAGGAACTTTGATGGCTGCAAAGATGAGGGCTAATTTTGCCCCAGCATACACATGAAGTGAGAAAACACTATATTACGTTTGAGATTCTGAATGCAGAAATTTTGGGAAATATCATGTATAGTGGTAGTTACCAAAGTAAGCATAACATGATCTCATTGCATAGAATGCATATTAAGGAATATAAGAATATATCTACACCACAAAGTTTTTTTCAGAAAAACGGTCGGTTTTCTGAAAAAAACTTCACTTATGTCCATTCTGCAATCATGTTTTTTTGAAAAAAAAATGGAAAGAACTGAGGGTATTTTCCAACATTGGTAAACCTCTTTCTACAAGGAAGAGCTCTTTCAGAAAAAAGTGTGTGTGGACGATAAAGAGGTATCTCTTTCGCAAGATGAGGAAAGAGGAAAAAGCACAGGTGTCCTGGTGGCTATTCTGCATATAGTAATCATAGCTTACATGTGGAAAGTGCCCATTCAGTGTGGGTGCTATCTGTCCAAAAAGCAGATGGCTTTTTCGATGCACTTTTGCAGTGTTGACGCTCTCTTTTGAAAGAAGTTTTTTTGGAAGATCTCTTCCGGAAAAGCTTTTTCCAAAAGAAGCCTGCAGTCTAGACATAACCAAAGTTATCACTGTTGATAAAATAGAAACTTTCTCCTGTGCCAGATGGCCAAGTTATGTTTGCAGATCTTCAGTATGTTTATCAACATCCACCTGTTCTGGAGAATCTTGTACAGACTAAAAACTTTATGGGAGGAAGGCAGGCACAGGCATGTGTGTGTGTGTGTGTGTGTGTGTGTACAGAATCTAATACAATGGGGATTGGATCTATGACCGGGACTCTTAAGTGCTTTTAGTATACAAATAACAGGAGCTTTGGGAGTGCCTGGATTTTGTTCATAGGAAATTGATACCACAACTGTGTATTAGCTTGACTATCTGCATGTAATTTGACTTCCACAATGAAGAGATATAGAAATGCCAATATTAAGTTTAGCGGGTAAGTTATTACTGTGCACTGACAGTCTGAAAAGCCCAAAGTACAGCATTGTTTGTAACAACTATTAGTTATACAGCAGTTGTTAAGGAGAGCATTGTTCATTTCAGGTTGAACAACTGACACAAATTACTGTGGAAAAACGGTGGCCATTGGGAATTAAACTAAGAACGGATAACTGCAGAATGTCTTTAAGTTGAAAGCTTTGCAGAAGAGACTGAGGGAGGGGAAAATTGCTGATTCACAGTCCTATTTTTTTGAGGTGGGGGCTGGAAGAAGCCTTTTTTGTTTTGTACATAGCCTGAGAATAAAATGCATTTAAAAACATTGCACATCTGAAATTTTAGAACAAAGGAATATCATTCTTAGAAGAGCTTTTTGAAGAAAAAGAGGGTGGAAATGAAGTCAATAGTCTTGTAAAAGAAGAAAATAACTCTGAGATAAGTCGGTGCTCTGTAGAAAATTAAATACCTTGCTCTGTGCATCACTACTGTCTTTTTGGATCAAAATCATATGCTATGTATTTTCTATCCACTACAAAATAATTTACATTTGCTGGGGCTGGTTTGCTGATGGCAGCAAGAGAAAAATAAGGCTTAATTGACTACAGCATGGTCAGTCTAACACACAGGCATTTCAGCTGAGATTTGGGCCATATTTGTCATTCTGGGAGTGAAAGTTTCCATGGCAACTCCAAAGCCTTTTAAAGCCCTGGCCTTTCTCAGAATGTGCTTCTCACAGGCTTTTAGAGTTAAGTGTTATGGAATTTTTTGTAATGTGTCATTATTTGTGGTCAGACAGTGGCGAGTAAAGATAAACTTGGTAGTGTCACAGTCAGGCACTCCTAAGTGTGGAAAACCATATTTCGAGGGGTATGTTTCTTCAGTGCATAGCTATGATAAATTCATATTGTTAAAAGTGTCCTGATATCTTTTTCAGAGTTTTAAAAAGTGCATTAGATCATGATGGGTCTATTATCTTTACATTGTGGATCATTGTGATTTAAGAATTTTAAACTTGTGGGAAATCCTTATTTACTGCTAGAATCCCACTTTTTAAAATTTTAATCTGCACAACACAACCAAGGCTATGGAGTCAGTCAGTGCTGGCCTTGGAACATGGGAATTCCTGATCTCAGTGTTGCGTTTAAAGGCCTCACCTTACCTTCTGACTTTTATGCCATACTGTCGCAGATCCCCACATTTTCCCTTCATAGAAACAGTCAAAGCAATTGAATAGTCCTTTTCTGAAGTTTCTTCCTCAGTGGCATAAAAAATTGTTATGCTTCCCCAGTGTCTTAAGTCTTAATAGTCCAGAACTCTGTAGTCAAGCAACATCCGTGGTCTGACATGATTTTAGTTAGACCGATATACGCTTATCATGGATGCTGCCACCTTTCCCCACAGTCCCATAAAGTTTGTTTACCACCACCAATCCTAGGTCTCAATTTGGTTCTAATTTACTAATAAATGTCTTCTAAGAGCCCAGCAAGAGCGGAAGGATTGGTAATGCTGCTAAGCATAAGCATGTTTTTTTATGCTTTATCTACTTATTTCCTTGTGCCAATACAATAAAATTGTGTCACAACACTAACACTTTGTTATGAAGAGAGTTGATAAGTCTTGTCCAGGCATAGGCTTACATGAGGTGTATCAGTTGGAGTCATAACATTACTAAGCAACATTGCAAACATTTTTCCACTTTTTTATTTTTATTTCACCAAGAAAATAAAGACCGACTTAGTACAATATCAACCTCCAGTTTTTAGGCAAATTTTCTGGTTCAGCACCCTTCAAGTCCTGAGAGTGCTGGACTAGAGAGATTCAACCTGTACTGCAAAAGTTACTGTGGTATCTTCTCCCAATTAAAATAGTTGCAGAATAAAACAATTCCTGGGAAGTACTCATTGATTGGAACCTTCTGTCATGCTCTGCCTACATAAGACAATGTTATTTATGTCTTATGTTCCTTTCATATATACATACAACTTGCATTAGCGTTAATAGGAAGCATACATAAGAATCATGAGGAAACTAATAGCGTTTACTTACACAGTCTCCTGCTTAAATGGCAGGGAAAATACTTTTCAGATGAAACTGCATTCTGATGGCTTAATCTGTTAATAGTGTTCATGTTTCATCATCTTAAATTGCTCATGAACATTTTGAGTCTGAACAAAATGCTACCAACAAAAGGGTAGATAATTAGAGAAGATACTTACAGAATACTTGTTGGCTCTAATGCGGAGTACGGACAAGCTAATCAGACTGAACAATCGCTGAAGCTTCTTTGTGATCCACCATTATCAGGATTCCTACTGAGAGATTACACTGTGTATGTTATGGAGTTTTCTTGAAAAGCAGACTGTGTCTGTAATTTGCTGATAGCAAGCGATTAATTAATGTTTGTGTGCTCAGCAGAACATTCTCAATGTTGCCATGTACAAATGTCCAAACAAATTTTCTGTCTGAATAAACAGTGGAGAAAATGGATTTCAGAATGAAGTTGGTAATTAAAATGGATATTTCCCACTATCATCACGGGCCATGAGGGTCCATTCTAAACTTGCTATAGAGGAATAGAAAACATTGGAGCACTAGAGGTGAGCCACCATTGGTGAATTAGATCAGCTATATTAGTGTCTGTCCATGACTGGTCCAGTGCTGGTGTCAGTCTGCTAGATCTCCCTGACACAGTTTATGAATGAGGAGTTCTGTGGAACCTTAAAGACTAACAAACTATATAGTATTGTGAGCTTTTGTGCATAAAACCCACTTCATCAAATGAATTGGACCGGGAATATTCAAGATATATGTAACAGCAAAATCAGTTGCTTATTAATTACAGGACCCATGTTAATTAAGAAAATTAAGCTGGATATCTCCCATTCATAGTTTTTGAAGTGGAAATGCGGATGTCAAAAGCAGGGGAAAGTGACTTTGTTGTGTGTTAACCAGTTAATGTCCTTTATTCAAGCCCAATGTAACAGTATCAAATTTGTAGATTAATTCCAGTTCAGAGGTCTCTCTCTGTAATTGGGTGGTGACATTCCTTTACAGAAGAAATAATACTTTTAAAACCATGACTGAGTTTATGAAGGCAGTAAGGGTATGTCTACACTACAAAGTTAATTCAAACTAATAGACGTTAGTTCGAATTAACTTTGATAGGCGCTACACATGCAAACCGCTAGTTTGAACTTAATTCGAACTAGCGGTGCGCTTAATTCGAACTAGGTAAACCTCATTCCACGAGGACTAATGCCTAGTTCAAATTAACTAGTTCGAATTAAGGGCTGTGTAGCCACTTAATTCAAACTAGTGGGAGGCTAGCCCTCCCCAGCTTTCCCTGATGGCCACTCTGGACACCACCAGGGAAACTTGTCTGCCCCCCTCCCGGCCCCGGAGCCCTTAAAGGGGCACGGTCTGGCTACGGTGCCCATGCCAGGTGCAAGCCTGCCAGCACCCAGCCAGCAGACCCTGCACCTGGCACGGCTCAAGCCAGCTACCCGCTGTCAACCAGCCCTCCTGGGAGCCTGCACAGGTCCACAAGAGGCGGGCACCCACCTGGTTTAGTGCAGACATTGTGGACCTCATCCACGACCTCCACACTAGGCGGAGGAAAGTGGCCGTCTAGGACAGGCTAGCTGCCAGCCTGGCCACCCAGAAGCAGGTTTGAATGAAAATCAAGGTGGTCCACTGAGACCCCCAACCCTGAGCCCTGAGCTTAGAATGGCCATACTGGGTCAGACCAAAGGTCCA